TTTTTTGCTCTGTGGTTGGTTATGTATCTGGGGGGGGTGTTGGAAGCATTTTCAGGATGGTAACCAGTCTCCTTTTTTTTCTTTCCCCTCCCCTGCTGGAAGGTTTAGTTTCTTCTCTCGCGACAAGAAACGTTTGCAGGCGTCGCAGAAAAATGTCCACTTCCAGGGAACTTTTGGAGAGTGGTCAAATTCAAGTAGGGATGACTCCTACATGGAACAAGGCCAGGAAGCCCTGCAGCACCTGTGACTGAAGCCCTGAGGTGTCCTGTTTGCTGCAGTAGATCCGACAGAGTCGTGACAAGAAGCTCCTGTAAAGCACCGCGGCAGCTCGTCACTGGTTTTGCCTCGCACACCTCGGGGTTGTTCCAGACCCTCCCAAAGGGATCCCTCGCTGTTCACTTGGGGACTGTTTGCTGCAAACAGAGCCCAAGCTTTGTAGTAACAGTTGCTGCCACCCTGGGACGTGGAAGCTTCTAGATGACTTGTTTTGTGCTGAATAACAAGTCCACGGTCTTGTTCTTGCGTTAACTACAGTAACACAAGCTTCTTTAAACCAAAAAAGGACCCGTGCCATTATTAGAAGTTTGTTTGCAGTGTACAGTATCTAGTACAGGGCAAAGACTCTTCCACCCTGTTTGTTAACACTATTGGTTGTTTGCTTTTTATTTCTGTGAGAATTTTTTCAAGAGGGACACGACAGCTGGACACCCTCCGTGGCAGCCCAGAGCTCTGCTGTGTCCTGTCAGTGCCGCTGGCATCGGCATCCTGCGGAGGAACCCCTTGGAAACCCACCTGGCACAGTGAGAAACTGGAGTAGCCTTGAGAGGGACAGTGAGTGTACATTTCCCTTGTGCTTATAGTGCCTAAAGCATGAAGAACCCTTGTATGAGGTGAGCGTGCCTTGTGTTTTGCCATTTCTGCAGTATTAATGGAATACAAATTGCTTACAGGGAGGAATCCTAACTCTTGGATTTTTTCCTTCTTACTGGGGACTTCCCCCCAGAGTAGCAGGCAGCTGCTGGAAAGGAATTAGAGCTTTCCCACAGAGAGGTTTTTAATTAAGTCACACTCCATTTTCCTGTCTAGGTAAAACTGCCCAACTTGAGAGGGACACACGTCCTCAGCTGGCTGACATGAGCTGTTAAACTGACCTAGAGATGGCCCCAACTGCAAACTAAACACTAAACTCTGGGAGCAGAGGAATGAATTCTGTGTGCAGGCTGCTCCCCTGGTGTTGGCTCATGTCTGGGCAGCCCGTGTTACTGGGCTTAACTTGCCAGCCCAGCCCAACTGCCAGGGGCTGGGATTTAATCTGCTCTGCAGTCGGACTGTGAGAGCCCGGGTCTGACCGAGGTCAGACTTACAACACTAAAACCCCACAGAGCATAACTGCTGTGTCCAGCCCATGTCAGAGCATCCCCCCTGCACCACACACTCCACAGGCACCCCCTGGGTGGGAGAGGGAGAAGACAGAGGTGAGGGGTCTCTGTGTTCTGGAAGGTCTGTGCTGGGGCACCACTGCTGCTGAGGAGCATCTGGTGGTGGCAGGGCCAGGGGCAGCTCCTGCTCGTGCAGCTCAGTGCCAGGGGCTGGAGCTCTTGGTACCACACCCCCAGCAGCTCCACCTGCTCTGTAAAGAGCCTCCTCTCAGGAGTGGCACTAAGGATAGGAAATACTGCTCAGGCTGGAGTAAAGCTCCAACTGCTCCGGGTACTGAGTGCAGGAGGAACTGTTGAAGGACTCCTAGATGGGTTTAGTGCAGGGTAGTTGTTTTTATTACAGGATGATCCAAGACTGGATTCTTTGATGTGTGTGAGCACAGCAAACGGTTCTCAGCCTGTCTGTAGTGAAAGCCTGACAGGGAACTGTTCCCTCTGTGCTGCTCTGCTCCTGGCTGCAACTGCTTCATTCCAAACACAAATCTTCCATATGTTCTAGGTAGGGAAAGTGTTTACTGTGTCCCCCTGGTGCTCCTGCAGCTCGGGGCAGGGGGGACATGTGGCCTTACATGAGACACCTGCATTAGACACAGTGATGGCAGTGGCCGATGCGGGAATTGGGCAGATGAGCTTTTGCCCGGTTGTGTTTTGGTAACACCCGTGAAACAGCAGCACTTCCCCCACTGAGTCAAAAGCAATCCTTAAATGGGGGGAGTGTCTTAATTTAATGAGACTTAAGTTGCCAAGATCTGGATTCACTTCCAGATATGAGAAAACCAGAAGTTGTCCAGTTCCATCCAGCTGTTGAATTGTGAGTGACCCCGTGGAGTCTCTGCTGGGCGCAGTTCAGTTGTGTGGCACATCCGGAAGGGATGCAGTGAGCAGAAACAATGCCAGAGTAAGCACATCCCTTTGGAAATGAGCTCAGAGCAATGAGCTGGGATAATGGAACTGCACAGACTGAGCCTAAGCCTGTGCTCCTGGTGCAGTAAAGCCCGGCCCAGAGCCGGGGGCACCACTGTCAGGCCAGATCTGCAGCAACATCAAAGCACAGCACTAAGCAGGACAAGCTTCCCCCACTCATCTCTGTAGCCCATTACCTCAAAAACCTCATTAGTTCCTCCTGACCTGCTGCCATTAACCACTCGTTGTCATGTTGGAAGTGCTGAGTTCACAAGTGCCATCGGGAAGGATGGCCCAGAGGGAAGCATTTGTAAAGATTTTAGATCTGTCATGTGTTGGTCCTCTGTATTCAAGGAACATCTGCTTTTAGAAAAGGGGCCAGGATGGTGGCAGGTGAGGGGTGTCACAGTCCTGCCTGCCAAGTGCAGGATCAGACATTTTATGGGTTGGTTTATTTTATTTTTTTTTTTGGTTGGACAGTAAATCATTTTAACAGTTTAATAAATATTTCTGAAAAACACGTATTTCTGCAACAGTTGTGTCCTTTTTTTTTTTTCCTGTGGAAGGTTAATACCATCTCTTCTTGGGGATGCAGCCTGTGGATCTGTCTGTGTACAGCTCTTCATGGAAATACAGCGTCAAACTGGGCAAGGTTTAGGACAGGGCCATTCAAAGGCTTACAAAATATAGTTTAAAATATGTTATCTATCTGGCTTATGATGACAAAGAACATGACAGAGCCCTTTCTAGAAAGCACTGTAAGCTCCCCAACAGGAGATGTGTGTCTGTACATACATATCCTGGCTCTGAAAAAGGTGCTTGACATCTGTTTTCCCCAAATCAGCAGCAAACCCACTTTCCAGAATGGATTTAAACCCTGTGCAGGCAGGACTTCACTGGCAGAAAGGAGAGAACAGAGTGGGTGCAGCTGCAACATTTACCCATGACACTGTCCCTCAGTGAACATCCATGGATTCATCAGGAACATGAGGCATTTTCTGACCTGTTTACTGCTCTGTGGTGCACATTCCTCGTGTACAAAGGAGTCACGTCCTCCCATGACATACAAAATGGATTGGTCACATGCTTCTCTCCACCTGGCAGACCTAATTAAGGACACAGCACCACTGAAGGTCCTACCTGTCCCAGCATCTTCAAGAAAATGAAGTCACTTTCCTTCAGTTCTGTTTTGGGGCCCATTTTTCAGAAGCTTTAGTTTGTTCCTGTATTTCCAATAATTGAGTGCTTCATGGTCACCTATCTGTACTTATCATCATCTCTTTGCTTCTTGGGCTCTCTCTCCCTGCTTCGGTCTCTATCCCTGTCCTTCCTGTCTCTGTCCTTCCTGTCCCTCCCTCTGCTCCGCTCCTCTCTGGAGTCCCTCTCTCTCTCACTGTCGCCCCAAGCCCACGACCGCTCCCTTTCTCCCCAGCGCTTGTCCCTGCTCCTCTCCTGGTCCCGGTCCCTCGTTCTCCAGTCCCTCGTTCCCTCACGAGACCAGTTTCTTTTCTCCGTTGATCCTTCTCCATAGAAATCATTTTTCACATTCGGCAAATTGATGGGCTTTCGGAAAGGTCTGTCCCGTCCTCCGAACCGCAGCTGCCCGGATTCTTTTTTGCCTCCAAAGCCACCTCCAAGCCTCCGGGGAATCCATCCTTTGAGGGTCCTTTCCAGCTCAAAGTCTACAAAGATCTCGTGCTGGTCGATGACCAACCTGTTGGCGTCTCTGTGGGCCTTCAGGAGCGCACGCTCCTCCTTGTACTCAATGAAGGCATAACCCTTGGAAAATCCCGTGACCAGGTCCCGAACCAGACGGATCTTCCTGATGTCTCCATACCGGGAAAAGACCTCCTTTAACTTCTCCTCTGTGGTCTGAAGGTTGAGCCTCGCCACGAAGAGGGTGAGGTGAGGATCTCCTGTGACTCCCTTGTTGGGCACGTACCGCGCCAGCATCGCCCGCCAGATGGCCCGGTCGTGGGGCTCCTCATCCGTGCCGTCGATGCTGCCGGCCTTGAGCGGGTCGTACTCCTTCGCTATGGGGGCCCAGTCAGCCATGGCCTGCTGGGGGAAACACACGTCGCACAGGCTCACAGGAGCAGGCACGGGCTGTGCAAGGAGCGCTCCCAGCCCCGATGTACTGTGCCTTCATTCAAAAATCCCCCAAAGTGAGATAAACGCAAATAAAGCGGCCGCGTGGCTGTTGTCTGGGTTCCCCTCGCGGGGCAGGGCCGTGCCGGGAGCCGGAGCCGCCCCGGCCGTGGGAGCCCGCGGCCTGGCCCGGCCCGTTCCCCGCCCGAGGAGGCCCTCAGACCGTTCCCGCCGCCGCCTCTCCCCTCCCCTCCTGTCCCGGTCCTTCGGGCCGCGGCAGCCGCGCCGCTCCGCCGGGCTCCATTTCAGCCCCTTCCCCGCTCCCGCCCGGCCGGAGCCCTCCGTCCCCCCCCAGCCCCGCTCCCGGAGGGCTGCGGAACCGGGCGGTGCCGGCTCCCGGGCTGACCGAGGCCCCCCGTCTCTTACCGGCAGCGGCGGCGGCGGCTGCTCCTCAGGGGAAGGCAGGGCAGGGAAGCGCGGCCGGGCCGCGGCCACGGGCCCGCCGGGGCAGGAGGGCCGCTCCGCCCGCGCCAGCGCCGCCGGGCCGCGGAGGGAGGAGGGAGCGGCGGAATGCAGCGGGGCCGGCAGGAGAGGAGAGAGCTGGACGGGAGGAGGATGGGATGGCGGCCCGGAGAGCGCTCTGGAAAAGAGCCCGTTCCAGCTGACGGCCGCCGATGTGTACGACATCTCGGCCGTGGTGGGCCGGGACCTGCTGCAGCTCCGCGCCGGGCCCGAGCTCCCCGCCGCCCCGCGCGCGGCTGCAGTTCAGGATCGTGCGGTGCTGGAGATGCTGGAGGCGCTGGTGAGGCGAGAGCAGCGTGGCCGAGGAGCAGCTGCGGCGGGAGCGGGACAGTCTGCGGCGGAGCTGGAGCAGCTGCGGGCGCGGCGGCCCCAGGCAGCGCCCCGCAGGTGGGTGCGGGACAGGCCGGGCACAGGGACACGGGCCGGACGCGTGCGGGTCGTGGAGCCCACCCCGAGCAACACCAGAGGGGCCGGAGGATACTCGTGGTCTCTTTTGTCGCAGCAGAACGAGTCTCACAATGTCAGTTCCCGTCTTTGGCCAGGAAGCCTTGGAGCTCTTCCCGTGGGGTGTTACAGGTCGCAGTGCTGTGGATCCCCCGCTCCCGTTTCACCGCTTTATCTCAGCAACGTGCGGTGACAGCAGAGTTGTTCAGGCGCTCACAGAGTTCACCGAGTACAAACCCACCGTGTTCAGTTCTCACACAGCACCGGCCCCACATGAGACAAATTGCCATTTAAGCAAACGCTAGAGCTTTGTTACTCTCTGCAAGAGAAACTGTGACCCAAAAAAGCCATTACCACAAAGGTCTTAAATTAGGAAAGGAGAATTCAGTTCTCACCTATCTCTGCCACAGACGTGATGTTAGATTGCTTGGCTTCTCCCACCATCAGAAAAGCTGATAAAAGCAGCTTCTTGGCAAACTAAATTGCAAACACTTTCGGACAGAGACGTTGCTTTTAGCTGTGGTCAGAGCCTGTCACAGTTGGGGCTGGAAATGCAGTCACCAAGGGAATACAAAAGTAATATGAAGAACTATAATTAAGTGCTTAGAAAAAAAGTCAGGATTGTGATCAACTTGTACTAGTCCTACAAATTACTCCATGGTTTTGAGAGGTTACAAGATCATGACCAGCACTGTTTCTTTTCCAGATCAGCCTTGGACCAGATAAAATGGTGATCGACCTCACAGATCCCAACCGGCCACGATTCACGTTGCAGGAGCTCAAAGATGTGTTGCAAGAGAGAAACCAGCTGAAAGCTCAGCTTCTGGTGGTGCAAGAGGAGCTACAGTGCTATAAGAGGTACAGCATGAAGGCACCAAAGAATTAATAACTACTAATAACAATTAATTAATTCTTGTCTGGGGAGCTTATCAGACGAGAGCACGGCAGGCTTGGGCCAGGCACTGCCCAGGCGTGTAAGAGACACTTGTGCTTCCAAAAGCATTCAAAGAAAAACGGGAACAATGAAGTCTCTATGCAACATAATTTTAAAACTAAACTCCCTTTTGCTCTGCACAGTTCTCAGCCTGTTCCCAGAGTTGTCCCCTACGCACAGTTACTCCCACTCCCCATCCAGTGGTTCCCGTGCACAGGAATCCATCTGTGCAGTCACAGCAGTTGCACAAAGTGTCCAAAGCCACACCACACACCGAAGAGCACGGGGGTTTCCAGCTCAGCTTGAGTCAAAGTTTCCTTCCTCCTGCAGTGTGGGGACACTGCCTTATCTCTGGTCCTGCGCTCCCATGGGGGTATGGACTGCTCTAGGGACAGAATATTGAGCTCTTTCATCATTCAAGAGAAGCTGTGGGGGTTTAGGACTGCCAACAGAGGGTTGTGCAAGGCACTTGAACTGTGCAGAACAAGTGCTTTGAGAGGAGGGTTTGGTCTTTCTCAAAGGGACCAGCCTGGGAGAACCGGTGTGAGCCAGAGGGTAGGATGAGGGAAGGGTCTTGCTCTTGGTGCTACAAATTCATTCACCCCCAAGGCTGCTCTCTTCAACCCTTGCCCATCCTCAGATTAGATTATAAACTCTTTGGAGTAAGAAACTACTTCTTAATCTGGACACAAAGTAAGCACATCAGATTTCAGTTGAGGTATCTCAGCAACAGCCTCCTGGATACAGTGAGCCTGCCCTTTGTCTGGTCTGTAACAGGCAGGTTAAGCCAAGAAGTTAAAAGTTAAATCCAAGAATTTACAAACTGCCTGACAGCACTTCCCCAGCTCAGCTGAATGCTTTGCTGTGCAGCCAGTGAAATGGCTTCTTGCTTTGATTTCCCAGCTGTTACACAGCTTAGTGCAGGCCAAGTTAAAAATTAACAGTGGGAATGTTTTCAGGTTTTGAGTGATTTCAGTCACAGTGCTGTGCACTGAGTGTGTCAGGGCTGCTTTTCAGTTCAAGTAATTTATGAGGTTATCTCCTTGTAGACTGCTATAGCTTAAGCCAAAATCCATCTTCCCTTTAAACAGTCACATAAAATTCTAATTGTAATTGTACAGCCATAAAGAGGAGCTGTGCAGGGGAAGGGGATAAATATATGATCTAAAATGTCTTGTGTATATTGGAAATAAGCTCTATTATGCACATTGGAAATAAGCTCAGTTTAGCACAAGGTACCAAACATCCTCCCAAGGATTGGCTCACACTCACTGATGGCGTTTGGGGATTGCAGTTTTCATGGTGATTTCTAGGTAGAAGTTGTGCAGATATTACAGCTCTGCAGTGTCACCAAACAGCTCATAGTCCTTTTTCTCCAAGAGGAGAATCCGCCCCAGAATTACCCCATTCCTGCTGTCACACCAGTTTCTAGATACTCTGTGTTTGTGCTTCCAAACCCAGCCAAGTGTTGCTTGGCTGCTCTCAGCCTTTGGCTCCTGCAGGCTTTGATCCACTCAGCTCTCCCAGCAAATGAGGTCAGCTCAGGACAGTGACTGGCAGGCTGTGAAAACAGAGTGTGCAGGCTGGGAAAGTCCAATCTGGTTCCAAGCAGGGAAAACTCCTTTGGTAAAGCTGAAGCTGGTACCTGAAGCAGGAGGTTAGAACCTGTGGAGTGTAAGAAGAGCCAAGTAGGATCACACAGTTGAGAGCTGAGGCAAAGCCTTTCTTTTCTCCTCTGTAGGGTGGAAAGAGGAACAGGCACCTGCCTTGCAGGGGAGCTGGGAATATCCCATGTGTTCCCAGCCTTGGTGGCTGCGCTGAAGGTACCACAGATCCACCCATGCAGGAATTCACTTTTTGTGTCTGCACCATCCTGTTATCCTTGGACCTCTCTACATATCCAATGTATAATTCCACATTCCTTTCACTCCCATTATGATTTGCCATTTTTCTTCTGTGGAAAAGTCAGCTTATTACTTTAGTGTTCCCACTAAAGCATAGCCCCATTGCAATACTTAGGGATAACAATTCATTATTTTCATTCACTACCAGGAAGAGTCCCAGCTGCCCTCCCTGTCCCATGAACTCCCATTCATCCATGTCCCAGTTCACAGGGTTTAACATGTACACACTGTCACTATGCACAAACTCATGAAAAATAAACAAACCCCTTTCTTTTCCCAGTGGGATCATCTCACAGAGAAAGGACCAAACTGAAGAACTGGAAAAAGAAAGCAGTGGCAGCAGCGCTGGCACCAGCAAGGACAGTGAGAAGACAATCATCAAACGGCTGTGAGTTTGTCTGCAGCTTTTTGGGCAGAATTTGGGAGAACATGGCACGCTCAACCACAGCAAATCCAGGGATGGATGCTGAACTCCAGCCCAGTTGGCTGGATATTGTTTTTTTCTTGCTCCCTTTTTAAAGTTAAAAACCTGATAAGGAAATCTTTTCCTGTGGAAAAAACACTCCACAGGAAGGCAACCTCCACCCAGGCAAGCAGGGAGTCACTTTTTTTTTTAGGAAAAACAAGTATTTCAGAGCAAAGCAATGCAATATTTGCCTCCCCTGCCAGCACCTCAGGCCTGTGCTGTGGGAACACACTGGCCCTGGAGGTTTGTTTTCATTGTACACAGTACCCACAAGCTCAGGCCATGTCCCTAAAGTTCCCCAAAATAGCAGAGCACATTGACACAGCCACCTCACAGCATTTCCAACTGCTTTTCTGCTTGTACGTTATTGTTTCCTTTCTCTTGTTGATTTTTTTAGGTTTTCTTTTAAACATGGAAAATGAGCATCCTCAAGGACTCCTGCTGAGCACGGCACTGATGAGGGAGGAGACAAGGGCTGGGAGAAGCAGCACCACTCCTGCTGCAGAGAATGAGCAACCTCATCAAAATTGTGGTGTATAATATTCTTTCAGAATAGTTTTTACTCTGCTTTTTCAGAAACTGTTTAAAACAGACACTTTTTGTATTTCTTAGATTCCTGTCAGATATTACCCACATGTAGAAAATAAACCTTTATACACAGGTGGGGTTTATTCTTATTAAAGGAGCCTGTGATGATTGGAACAACAACATATTTACCCTGTCCAGCTATCAAAGCACTCAGCCCAAGTGATTTTGCAAGATGGAGATGATATTTAAGAGATACATGGCATTCCCAAGTGGCTGTTTGGGGTTGAGATGAATGATAGTGGAGAAGAGCACAGCAAGGGAAGGAAAGCTGCTGCCTCGTGCTCTGCCCACATGAAGGTCTGAGGTGCAGAAATGCTCAGACTGGAACAGATGCACCAAACACCTCATTTCTGACAGCTGAAGGGCTCCTGGGGAAGGCAGCTGTGTTTTGCATAAGCTCTCTTCTTCCCATCAACTGCCACAAGCTGTGTGTTGGCCCCAGTAATGAGATTTATCACCAGTGGAAGGATATAGGGCAAACAGAGGAGTGGGAAAAGAAGCCTGAAAGACACCAGTTAGGTTCCCCAGAACTGCTCTGGTAGAATATCCAGAGCAGAAAAGCCTGAATAGACATAAAAGGAGCAGTGACAGGTATCAAACTCTGATCTTACTCTCTTCAGAAGTGAAAGCAGGCTCCGAAGTCTTTTGATTCCCTCTCACACACTGGCAGCATGAGAAATATAGGACACTTCACACAACTGCTGGGATGCACAATGTGGGTGTGGCTCAGCAGAAGGCAGAGCTGCAGCCTCCTTTTAGAGTTCCCTGGCAACTGTGCATGAGAAGGCACCACCAGAGAGGTCTGACCTCAGCCACCTGGTATAGGCAGGGTAGGAACTGCTGAAGTCATTTTGCCATCTTCAAAATATCAATCTTAGCCATGCCCTCATGATGTATTTTGTAAAGCAGGGCAGCAGGGAAGGAAGTTACTGCATTGCCTGAGCAGAGGCTTTGTGCTCAAAAATAAATAAGTAATCACGAATTAACAACAGCCAGGATACACCTCTGAGCTGAAAAGAGATGTGCTCTGAACTCCATCCTCCTGTGGCTTATCCAGGAATGTATTTTCCAATCTCCTTCAAAAAGGGCAGTTTAGCTCCCAACCCAAGGACATCTTGTAAGCACCAAGAAGTGCTTTACACCATATCAGAAGATGAAATCTTCCTAAGAGGGACAGAGATAAACATCCAAATGGCAGTTTCTGTGAGAAATATATTGATACCTCAGTTCCTAGGAAAGTCAAGGATACATATGCAGTGCAACATCAGCTTTATTTCCATCTGACCCAGTGCTACTCCATTATCAGTTAAGCCTTTCAGAGAAGACAACTTTGTTTTTATGTAAAACAGGGAGATCATTCCCTTTTTTGTTTACAGAAGTGATGCTGAAGAACAGAGGTTTTAAGCTATTCAACCTGATAAAGGACAAGTAAACGTTTAAATAAAATAAAAAGAATCATTTTACTCTAATCTTGACTTAAGGGAAGTGCTCTAGTTTAAGGGGATACTGTACACACTGCTGAGGTCTCTGCTACTGAGACCAGAGAAAAATCAGTGCCAACTCAGCTAAGTTGGCCTTATCTTACCTGAAACTCAGTACATGGAAGGTAACAGGTCTCCAGTTACTCCTTCAGAAACGTGAACATACCCAGGCTGGCTCTGCTGAGTTTGCCTTGTGTTAAGCAGTAAATATCAAGCATTTAACAGCTAATGATTTTCACAGCTTTCTTTCCAATGCTCATGAACTGCAATGGAGACAGGTAGTATAGCAGCCACTTCATCAATAATAAATATATTCTTTATTTTACAGAGACATTGTCTTCAAGTTTTTAATTTAAAAAATACATCACTAAGCCACCTCTCTTGCTGCTGGAGCACACAACCAGGATGTTGTTGCTATCTGACCTATCACATAGGCAAGCATAAGATTGTCCTAGAGGGCATTCAGCTGGAACAGCAGCAGCCTTCAAGACATGAGGAATAGAAGACATTAACAGAGCCACAGATTCCTTGCTGACATCTTCCAGCAGCAAGTGTGGCTGATGGCTCACAGCCATTTTCATCTACACACATGCCAAGCCTGCCTTGGCAAAAATTCCAACTGGTAAGAATTCATCTTTAACATAAAGGACCTGCATTGTATTGCCTGCCTATATCCCAGATTTGGTTCTCCAACAGTAACATTCCAACATCCATGAGATGCCAAGCGCTTGACTCCCATGTAACACAGTGGGACCAGACCATGCTGGACAGACCTACAGGACCAGGCAATAAGGAATCTACTTCCTTCACTGCATGAACTTCATTGTTACACTTTGAAGCTGCACATGAAGAGGACTCCTATTTTTGGAACCGCTATGCTCTACTTCAAGCATTCACAGTAAATAAATAGCTTCTGATGTGGCTAATTAGCATAGGAAGGTAATACAAAAATTTTTGGAGAGAGCTTTTACTTCTTTAAAATCCTCTGGGAGACACCTCCAACAATCAGCCATCAATATAAAAAGGTACCTTCTTAAATTTTAGAAAATAAGTAATGTCAAACATTGATTCTCACTGTGAAGTTCTATCTCCAAATTTGTACTCAGTATCCACCCAGACTATCAAAATCCATCCTTGTTTGGCTGGGAGTCATTTCTCCAAAGAAAGCAGCCAATCTGACCATCCTTTTTTCCTCAGTGCCAGTGCATTTAAAGTTCATTGCCAACAGATTATACGACACCGAAAAAACTGGATTCCTACCACAAATTATTGGAGAATGATAGTAGCATCCATGCCAGAGAAGCCTGTCAGCACTGGGCTGGGAACAGCAGTGTGACAGGCAGTCAAGCCACCGCATGAACAGAGTACAGAAGTACTTCTGCTGTCAAAGTTAACGCCGAGTTCATCACCCCAAAGTGGAGCGTGAGATTTTCTTGCAAAGGCAGAAGCACAACCCCAGTGATTAAGTTTCTGTGCAAGTCTTTGACTGCTCAAGTGGCACTGGTCACTGTGCAGAAGCATTCAGATTTTAGGGAGGGTTTCCTTTTATGATACAAAAGGTTTGGCAATCTAAGATCAATTATTGAAGCCTGCCTGGAAAACTGTAATAGGTGTTTAAATACTGCAAAGCAAAAAGGTAGTTTGTAAGGAGCTCGGAAGACCGTAAGCAGTCCACTAAGAAAGCTGAGGGACGTGAGGGCAGGAGAAGTAAATCCAGACTCCTTGTAGAACACTCAGTCCAGGAAAAAAAAAACCAAAACAAAGAAGATGAATTAGTGTTTCAGCCATGGATGAGCTTCAATGGAAGCTTTGCTCCTGTCTCCATAGTCGTACAAGAGTTCTTCACCTGCTTTAATGTCCCTGGAAGCAATGAGGATGAGATGAGGAACACCATCAATGTCATGGAGCTTAGTCTGACAGTTGCCACATTTGCTGTGATTAATGAGCCTTCCCAGACGATTCGTTTCCTTTGTAGCATCGACACTGAAAGAACAAGAACAGTTTTTGTGGACCAAAACCCAAGTGCAAACAGGATAAAGAATGAGGAATCCCCACAAGGCTTGGAAAATGAAGGAGAAACAGAACAGTACAGACCAACCATGATTAAACAGACAGCAATAAATATGGTAATGCAGGGAAACTAAAACAATCCGGGAGATTTTTAATTTAGCACAAAACTGAAAACTCTAGACTGTTTGAGCTCCTCTTTTCAGGAATAGCTGAATCCAGATGTAAGACACCATCAGAAAGGCTGGATACCTTAAATATCCTCCCCTCAAGAAAGCTGTGTCCAAGCTAAGTATATTTACTGAGTAAACCAGCAAAAGTAAATCAGCAAAAGGAAGGCTGAGAATGCCTAAATACTACATGCCCAAATTCCAGAGACCTGGATACTCCAGCTCTAGTGCCCCTCATTGCACAAAGAAGTGTTAAGGCAGCTATCAAGGCACTTAGAATATAGGGCACTTCCAGGTAATTAATAGGTCACACACGTGGTTAAGTGACCTACGCTCCAGTATCCAGTAGGATCAGCCAAGGAGGAAAGAAGGTAGTCAGAGTAGTTACTTTTAGAGACCTGGAGTTTGGGGCAAATGAAACAGTAAATAGATAAAGCATGAATCTGGGGTGGGTGTTAGGTGCTGGGAAAACAAGGACACCCACTCAAAGACACTTGAAGGAAATGCTTCTCTTCCAGAGAGTTTGTCCATCCTGCTTTTCAAACCAAATCCTTGCAACTCAGAAAAAGGAGTTAGTTTTAGAAGAGAATAAGCAGGGCTAGAAATCTCATCCAAGCAGATGCAACTCTCCATACACCTTGTGCTGCACTTCAGAGAAAACTGCTCTGAGTCACCCACCAGCCCAGACTTGGAGGGGGATCAGTGCTCCCCAAGATTTTCATAATTCACGGTTCTCATTAAAAACACAAAACTTGCATGAGAACAAGAAAGGGTTTAGTGACATCCAAAGCCTCTGTGAGCCAACACTTGAGGGAAGAGGAGCTTACCAGTAGGTTTTGCTGAGGTACTGGAAATAGTACATGTAGCAGCCCGTGGATGGATCCTGAGCATACACAGCCTCCCGCTTCTTGGCATCAGTGATCTCTATGAGATCCCCGTGATACTCCACCACAAACTCTCCTCGATTAAAATGTTTAGTAGCAATGACTCCTCTCCCCTTGCCATCGATGTAATCAATCTGGAGAGTTGAAAAGAAAATCAGCTGGGAAATTGGAAAGTATTTACATGATTGCAAATATGCTGATTACGAGGAAATGAGTGATTTGTCATTACAAAATGCTGTCAAAGGGAATTCAAACAAATTCTGTCTACAGCAGACAAAGCTTTAGAAGCTGCCTGGCATTGTGGAAGAAACACAGGATGAGTTTGGGATTCATCCAGGTTACCAGGTAGTTTGATACAAAGGCTTCTAATTAGAGAAATAAGAATTACTTTAAATAAACCCTAACTCTTCTCTTTGTGTCTGTTTTTTCTTTTAAACTCCCTATGAGCTGGGGCAGTGAGCTTTTCCATTTCATGTGCATGTTAGCATACACAGGTTAGAAAGTTAAAGGAACAATAAGACTGATTACAA